TGATAAAAATGGTTTCCTTTGGACTGGATGCCCACCTGATGTCTTCTCTGGAATGTAATTCAGTCAGAAGCAATTATGGCACTAGCAGAGATTCTGAGAATTCATGAAATCCCACAGCCAAAACCATGATTCATTGCTCCCATACCAAAAGCATTTGGCAGGCTATAGTTGGCAAGCCACAATCCTGGCTGCTTCTGAGGCTCCAAATGGGGCCATTTGAACTCATTGTGGCCCTGCCCTGCTCTCACAACTCTGGAGAGAAGACATCAGAGTTCCCCAGACTCTCTTTAGACAATATTTTTCTTACCTCCTCACGGGCCTTGCTTAGCAATATACCTTTCTGGATTAAGAGATGACAGAGTGTTTTGGAGTTTTTCTCCACCTCTCAGGCATTGCAACATGAATATTCTACAAATTTATCTTCTATAAAAACTTTTGTGAAGCAGCTCAGGAGTTTTTAGTACCAGCCTTACACAACCTGTCATTCAAATCCTTAATGATGGCTTTATGTGAAAGGGGTTTCTCCACACTTTTCATCTGCTTCATCTTCGATGGCAGTGTGGTTCTTCCTTTGAAATAGACCACAAAAGAGATGGTTCCTTCAGGCAAATATCAGGGTTCAGTGACTACTTGAAATGAAATGTGTATAGACAAAACGCTGCAAACACCACCTCGAGTAGTAACAGTAATGGGTAGCCAGGTATGCTGTGCATGGATGTGGAAATCGGGCATTCGGCCCTGGCCAATAGCAGACACTTCAGATGAGGAAGATAAAAATCTTCTGCCTAAGTGGGGAATGTAATCTCACTCTGCCTTTCCAACATATGAAAACCAGTTTCACAAAGTCTATATGATTCATGAATCCCTTCCAAAGAATCATAGAGCATAAGAAATGGAGGGACCTTGGGGCGCCTGGGTGGCTCAGTCGTTAAGCGGCTGCCTTCGGCTCGGGTCGTGATCCCAGGGTCCTGGGATCGAGCCCCGCATCGGGCTCCCTGCTCCACGGGGAGCCTGCTTCTCCCTCTGCCTCTGTCTCTCTCTCTCTCTCTGTCTCTCATGAATAAATAAATAAAATCTTTAAAAAAAAAAAAAAAAGAATGTTAGTAAGCAGGGCACCTGGGTGGCTCAGTCGGTTAAGCGACTGCCTTCGGCTCAGGTCATGATCCCAGGGTCCTGGGATGGAGTCCTACATCAGGCTCCCTGCTCGGCGGGAAGCCTGCTTCTCCCTCTCCCTCTCCCCCTGCTTGTGTTCCCTCTCTCGCTGTGTCTCTCTCTGTCAAATAAATAAATAAAATCTTTTAAAAAAAAAAAAAAAGAAATGGAGGGACCTGGAATGTCACATCATTTGGATCCCTCTATAGAACCCACAGCCATGAGGTACCCCAGCCATAACTCAAAAACTTCCAGGAATGGGATGGGACAGTATCCCCCTCTAGAACAACCCAATCTGTTTTGGGACAATTCTAACTTCAGGAAATGTGATATTTTCTTTTAACTATTCCCAGTGTCTAAGGCTCAGCTTTTACCCTTTTACCCTACTTGAAGTCTTTATCAGTTCTTCACTTATTTAACCAGTGACAATTCAATCTAACCACTTGTCATCTGGCACAGATCTCCCCTTCTTACTTCCAAGCAATCAGGAGAAACTCTGTCCAGTATCTGTGGGAATCCAGATGTATGTTCTTACCTATGGATTTCCCCTCTAAATTTATCCTCAACAAAAAGAAAGAAAGCAAATCTAACATGATGTTTCTTTCTTACTGAACCCATGGTAGCTTCTAGTAATCAGTGCTTTTTTTTAAGTGTACATAAAAACTCTGTTTTAATATTCCTTTCTGGAGTTTTGCCTAGAATGTACATTAACCCACTAGTTTAGTTTATAGACTCTGCCTTACTCCTGCTCTGAAGAATTGAAGCTATATTTGGGTATATTCTATCAGCTAGCACTTTCTGCACTTTTCATAGCTCTTCTGTAATCTTACATACGTATTGATTTACTTCTGTTTGGATAATACTTTTTGCTTAATGTGCTTGTCTGAACATTGTTATCTCTGCATTCCTTTCAGCCAACATAGCTTCCTAGTTTAGAATGTTCTTATCTTTGCTCAGGGTGCGTAAGTCCATTCACAGAATACTTTTTGCTTAATGTGCTTGTCTGAACATTGTTATCTCTGCATTCCTTTCAGCCAACATAGCTTCCTAGTTTAGAATGTTCTTATCTTTGCTCAGGGTGCGTAAGTCCATTCACAGACCACGTGACTGACTATAAACATGCTAGCTTGTGCTGACCAACCATGGTCTGACTGGCATGCACACACGAAAATACAGATTACATATTTTGGATTTTAGCATGAACTGGCCTAATTAGCTAACAATCTACTAGGTAGTCCATACCCATAAAGCTTGGATTGAAAAGCAGGAAATATTTTTTGAATTTTAGTTCTGCTCTTCATTTTGGATAAATTATTCATTCCCTGGTGCACCTTTGTAAGAGACAATGGCTGATGATTGTGTTTATCTTTACATATACATCACAGAGCTAATTTGAACCATTTAGCCTAAAACTACTGAAACCTTTTTAGTGCTTAAATAAGACGTATCGATATAATGGCATAGTGTGCAAAAACTAACCTAAAGATTCTGTTGTTCTCTTTAAAGGAGAAAACGTCATGATATTCCCATTAAACACATGCATGAAATTACCCATATAATATTCTATATCATTCATATATATGCCTATATATGACATATAGCATCCTCTTAGCATAAAGAAGTCTACGTAGTTGACTAGCAATATTGAAACACTGCAAAACTGAGTGCTTTTCTTACCTGCCATTAGTTCACATTTACTTTCATTGAATTTGTGGGGCAGTGGCATCACTGGACATGCCGATTTTCACTGACCACAACTTCAGCAAACACAGGTCCTGTCCTGCTGGGGTGTCTCTTAAACTCCGGGCTTCTGTGAAACTCCCGCTCAAGCCTGGATGCACGTGGGTTGAGGACAACTAGTTCCATTGATCAGGGTCTGGTTTCCTCTGCTTTGTTTGACCTGGGCATGCTTAGCTTCCATCTGTCTGTCATCCTAGAGCAGTATCCAAAGCCAGCCCATGTGGTATCTCTTGGGCAGGAAGGTTAAGTCCCCTGGCATGAACTGCATTCAGCGACTGAATAAATAAGACAGCTTGGAGATGGGCTTTTATTCATAGGAAACCAGATAGCCTTTCTGATGATAAAATATTTATTCCCTATTATCTTGTTGTTGCCAAGACTACTATGGACAGCACATTTCTTAAAAGGAGCTAGAGTGCTAAAGAGGCTTTAGTAGGTAAATTTTAGGGTATTAGTAGAATACATTTTATTTTGAAAAATATCTCGAATGACATTCTGTCGCCCAGAACTGAGTGTGATTTACCACTTAATGTTGATTGAGATAATACCATGTCCCACTTGAAGTCAATACTTTTTCTTTTTTTTAATCATTGCTTTCCTCTAAGAAAGAACTTCACTTTATCCCTTCAGAAAGTGAGGCCAAACATGTGGTCATTTTAAGGCAGCTAAGTAAATTAAGCAGTGTGAATTTATATTAGAGTTTAGAAAAATCTAACTTCTTCAAATGAACATTTTGTAATAACTTTGTTTTACACACTTTACTTATCTTAACTATTTACAAAGTACCAGCTAAGCCTCGTGGGGGATCCAAAGATGTCAGACAGGATCTCTGACCTCCAGGATCATTGTTTAGTGGGGTTCACTGCATACGAATACAGATGGAGCTACACCAGGGCAGACTCTGACAAGCACTGTGGTAGAAGTATGAAGTACTAGAGGGGTATGAAATGCTGGGTGGGGTTTCCAAGAAGACTCTGAGGAAATGTTGCCTTTGAGTTGGACCTTGACAAATAATAAAAGTAGGTAACGTTTATTGAGTGCCTCCTAAATGTTAGCACTGTTCAAAGTATTTTAAACTTATTAATTCTTTAGTTCTTGTGATTAACCTTATAAGCCAAGTTTTGTTATAATTCCCATTTTATAGTTGCATAAACTGACATGGACCCAAGAGAGACCACAGATATATAATTCACTGACAGATGTGATTCGATATTAGGGTGAGGGTTTCAATGGCTTCAGGTTTTGAGTCTGAAGAGGTAAAAAGGAAGCAACCCCATTAACCACTATGGTAAAAGAGTGGAAGCTGGAGGAAGAGAAGAATTAATGAGGGCCCGGAAACAGGAAGAAATTCCCATTTGAATAGTGGATAAGCATGCAGGCTTTGGGATCTAAAAGCCTTGGGTTTGAACCACAGATGAGCCAATTATCAAACCTGTGTGACAAAAAAAAAAAAAAAAAAAAAAAAAAACCTGTGTGACAAGTTACTTAATTGCTCCAGCTTCAGTTGTCTTACGTGTAAAATGACAGAAATGATTTGGTAATGATAAGGATTAAGGGAGATGAGAGAGGTAAATGCTTACTACATTGGGATCATGCAATAAATATTATCACACTCTCTCTTATAATTATCACTATAACAATAGCAATATAATAATAACAATATCTCTTGGCATGTGGTTTCTTGATATTCATTATTACTAAGATAATAATGTTCCGGTTATTAGTTCCTTTTAAATAAGGCTTACAATGATATTAACTCAGGTTTTAGATTCAACACTCCTTTTTATTACACTTAATCATCAAAACAAACTGGAAATTATTTATGTACTTTTCCCATATTACAGATAAATCAGCTGAGGCTGAGACAGGTGGCATGCCCTTTGTACCCTCCCTGGAAGAGCCAGGACTCACACCCAAATCTGACTTAATCCAAATAATTCTGAACTCTTTCCCAACTAGTCACTTGTAGCATTAAAAACACCTTTGTATCACTGTCAGTTTTCTGGGCTCTATGCTGAGTAAATAAATTATGTTTTATAAAAATGTTATTAGCAAACCACCACATGGTTTTCATAGTGTGAAATCATGTGTCTCTCGGAACTTTCTAGTGGACAGTGTTCTGCTCAAGGCCTGTCTTTGGAGGAGATGAAGAGAGGTCTCCAGTTCTCACCCGTTGACAAATATGGTAAGTATATAGATTGTTCAGACTGATTAAGAGACCTGCCCCTAAGAAGGTGATATGTATTTGATAACAAGGGAGAAAAGATTCTGTTTTATATAATGCCGAGAAATGATGGATGCTTTAAAAGTACTATATTATAAAAGTAAGAACTTTGATCTTATAAGTCTTATATAACTCTGCATTTACCTTTGAGTTTAGTAATGTGTATGGATAAGTGTGTATTTGTACAAGTATATCAGAGTGTGTGTATACGTGGAAGAAGATACAACTCTCCTCATGAAAACAATCACCTGCGTCTTGTGATATTCCAAACGCCTTGTTGCCGCCTTACTGAGTTTACTACCTCTAAGCCCCACATCGCAGGTAGGTCAGGAGGACAAAAACAAGAGAGGAGTCTCCACAATTGCATCATATGCTGGGGGAGCTCTTCCCCTTTAACAAGTACCCAAGGGTAAAACGTAAACCCAGCCATCCCCTCAAAAAGCTAGAGAGGAGGTGAAGGTATCATTGATAGTTTCCATTTTGCACAGGACTACTGTAGAAGGAATTAATAAAGCTCTTTGAAATAGTTAACACAGTTCTGTGCAGCCCCTGGAAGCCAGAGGCTGGGTAATCACCCTTATCACCAGCTGCCATATTAATGTGCCAGGCCTGTAATGTCCTTTTTCCAACCTCTAAGCCTGAGAGGCTCTATATTTAATTGGAATTTTAGCACAATGGGCTCATTTATTCATGGGAACTTTTCCTGACAATATGGAGGACTGAAAAAAAATGTATGTCAGTTAAAGAGATCAGATTTATTACAAGAACTGGGTTTGGGGAAGAATAAATTGGATGATGCATTCCCGGTTCTCTGATTTAGATGGCAATAGACCTTGGAAGCCTTCAGCTTCGGGATCCTCACCAATGCACCTCGTTTGCCGAGATATTATTACCTAAGGCATTAGAAAGCCTTTAAGAAGTGAAGAAAAAAAAAATTGTTCTGGATAGATGCAGACAAACTACTTGGGAACATTAAAGAAAGGAAACTTTGTGCTCTGACTCCCAGGACCTGTGTAGAATGCAGCCGAGTGCTTTTTATCATCAGCTTTACAACATAATTGGCCAGTCTGGTAACAGGGGAAAATGTGCTCTAAGTGTCACATCATCACATTTTTTATAGAGATCATATCGTTTTTTCAAACTTTTACAGATGTGAGCACACAACCACAAAACATAGGGCACCCTTTGAAATGCGTGCCTTGACCAGAAGTCTTTCCTTTCATGTTGGAGGAAGCATTTCAAGAGGAAGCATTTCATTAACGATCTGTTTCTTAAAGGAATAAGACTTTGAGTAGCATTCCCCAAGATGAAGACAGAAGTGATGCAGAAATGCAGAAGTTGGGTTTTCCCCTGCATGTGTGTACCAGGGGTGGAAGAAAACATTAGGGTGTTTGGATGGAGCAAGAGCCCCAACAGGCAAACGAGATAGATTTACTATCCCCCTCTAGGAACATCACCCGGTACAAGAAAGAACCTTTAATTGCCCTCCATTTTCATCACATAAGCCAGTTGTGGTAAAACAGCTACTTTAGGACCTGTTTCTTCCTCTCCGCCCCCAAAGAGCAGGGCTAGGGAATGAAGATAAAATTACAGGCATAGCAATTCTCTCTGTACTTGAGGCCTTTCACCCGAAAGTAACAAAACGTGCGGACATGGTTCTTTTCCTATAGCCTGTGGTCAAATTTCACATGGGTTCCTCTTCAGCGGAGCGGCCACCCAAGTGCCTGTCGTCCAACTCTGGCAATGATGCATGAATAAAAATGTGAGCACCCACGCCCCACTGACTCTGCCGCCCATCCCCATCCCCGAAGGAGAGGCACCCGCACTGAGGGACGAGCACTCCCAAGGCCATTTCCCCTGGAGTCCCATGGGGAGACGGGCAGGCAGGAGCCTCACAGGCCGGTAAAATCGCATGTGGTACATTAGAAGGTTGATGATAGGAATAAAAGGATCACAGGCTTATTAAAACATCTGTCTGTGCCTGGAATAAAGGTGCAGTTTCAGGCTGGACAAGAGGAAATGTAGATTTTATGTAAGTCCACCCAAAATTAGGAATCAGTGATGTGTATCCTGATCCTGCCTCCCTTCATCTCAGCACCCCTGACCACACCCTCCTCTCTGACCCGGGCCAGCCCCGCCCCCCCCCACCCGTCCCCACGGTCAGCCGCAGTCCCGGGATCTCCGCATAGGGGAGTGTGTGTGCCGCCTAACAGACTTTGACAGACACCCTTCTTTTTTTTTTTTTTTTACTTTTTTTTTTATTCTTATGTTAATCCCCATACATTACATCATTAGTTTTAGATGAAGTGTTCCATGATTCATTGTTTGTGCATAACACCCAGTGCTCCATGCAGAATGTGCCCTCCTCAATACCCACCACCAGGCTAACCCATCCTCCCACCCCCCTCCCCTCTAGAACCCTCAGTTTGTTTTTCAGAGTCCATCGTCTCTCATGGTTCGGACAGAGACCCTTCTTATGAAAATAAATAAACCTATCCAACTGCATACTGCTAGATGCCTTGATGAAATTGTAGATGGCTGAGTTGGTTCTGAAAACTCAGCTATCAAAGGGGAGCAGAAGCGGCAATAGCTGTTGACAAATGTGCCTATTTTCACTGACGCGATGAACGAATGGCTTCCTTACTTGCAGGGGAAAAGGAACTGCTTACCTGCTCGGGTCCTGCGTTCTCTGGGGCAGTGGCCTGATCCTGAGCCCCGAGTTGTGTTCTCTGGACACAGCAGGGGCTATAGCTTCAATGAGCATTAAATACCACTGGTATTTGGACCTGAGCTTTGATGGCCACTGAAAAACGGGCGCTCAGGGAGGAAAAACAAAACAAAACCTAACCAGAGGCAACCTGCGGTAGCGAGTGGTTCTTTCCTTTTGCTCTGTGCTTAGCTCCCCCTTCTTTTTATCGCCGCCATTTGCTTAACTCTCATGGTGTCACACACTATCCGGATGGATGGTCTGATGTATGTTACCAACCTTATGAATTAATGTCCTGTTTACAGATGAAGACACCGAGGCTTAAAAATGTTAAGTGGACAAATATCACAGAACCAGTAAGTAGTGGAGCCGGGGTTTAAAGCCAGACTTGCCTGACATGAAAGCCCATTTAGCCGTCACAATACACCACCTTCTTGAACTGACCCCTTCTTGACTGCAGTCTTGGCCGGCTTGGGTCCCAATCACCATTTGTGTTCCTCCAGTCTCAGCTCTCTGTTTGCATTTTAAATTTTGCCTTTGTTTTACAACTGCTTGCCAGCAACCTCTGCCCAGACTCTGCCCAGGAGCCAGGAGAAGCTGCCTGGCAGCTCTGTGGTGCACTGGGTGAGGCTGGTTAAGAAAAAAATGGCAAGATGGACCGCAAGGCAGGTAAGTAACAGCTGAACTTCTATTCCGATGCAGGCTACGTGTCTGATCCCATGAGCCCGCTGCATTTTCATTCTTGCCGGAATAGCGGCAGCTCTGAGGACAGTGGCTGACATCACTCCGCGGATACCTAAGGAGAGTTTTCCCCCAGACTGACCGCAACAGTTCCAACCGTGGCAGGCTTGCTTCCAATTATAATATTTTACCCTCTAAGGTCTCCTTAAATTGGCTTGTTTATTCTGGTCCTATTTAATTCCCTACCACAAGTTGGGCTTTGGATTTGTGGCTAAGGGATGAAATGCAAAAGAACCAAGACAGAATGTATTTAAAGAATTGGTTTGAATTTTGTAACTGAAAGAACAAATTTATATCGTTACTTGGAGATAGGGCCTAAGTCTGTGGTGGGCACTTAACAATTGTTATGTTTTCCTAGACTGAATTATCTAGACTTGTGTTTGAGAACTGTGGGTTTGATTTTTTAGAATATTGTTCATTTTCTTATGCTATTATGTTACCTCTAGTGTCCAGCTCTGTGATTAAAGATTCTTTGTTGGCACACAAAATGGATTCAAGAGTGTATTTTGTTCCAACAAGACGTCTTCTGAGTATACCTTCTCTAAGACATATTGGTAATGACCTTCAGATCAAGACGCTTGCAAAATATTGTGCTTAGTTATTTAGCCTCCTTTCTACATCATACCAAGTGCTCTGTGCTTTGTTTGGGCATCTTGTTGCAGTCAGAACCAAGGGGTCATAGATGCTCTTGGTGTGGCCCACAGATGCGAACCTGCTTTTTATACCAGAGTCTGGCACAGTGCACGGGAAGGATACTGAGGTACCAGTGGCCTTCAAACAATGAGAAATCTGGGGGTGCCCGGCTGGCTCAGTCAGTAAAGCCTGTGACTCTGGATCTCAGGGTTGTGAGTTTAAGACCCACGTCAGGGGTAGAGTTTACTTAAAAAGAAAAAGAGAGAAAAACCTGCTCTCCATGCTCATTCTAACCAGGGAGACAGGCATACTTCCGCCAAACAAAATAGTCCTGCCATTGAAAGGCAGATTTGGGGGAAAAAAACAGGCAGGAAACCATGAATATTCAGTATGATGATTACTGCTTTTAACCTCAGTAAGAGGAAAAAAGTTAGTAAAGCAAGATGGGGTAGCCTCTAAATCAAGGTTTCCAGATCTCAACGCTGTTGAGGTATTGGAGGGAATTATCTTTGTGGGCGCTGTCCTGTGCACAGTGGGATGGTCAACGGCTTCCCGGCCTCCACTCCCAGATGCCAGTAACAGCTCCCGGAAAAAGTCGCCAGACATTTCTAAACGTACCCTGGGGGACAAAACTGCCCCAGGTTGAGAACCACTGCTGTCAACCCAGAGAGGACACTGGGGGCTTGAAGAGCAATGGAAGGAATATAGAGCCTGGTTGTGACTGTGTTTAGGCAACTCTGCTTTCTTCTCGTGAGTAATGTGGGCTCATACACAACTGGAACTAAATGGGGAAAGTGCCGATTGTTCCTTTCATGTCTGTGGTGAGCTCCTCCGTCCTCCCCTCTCCTCCTCCTGATTAGAAATTAGGTTTCTTGAGGGCAATTTCTTTTTTTTTTTTTTAAGATTTTATTTATTTATTCATGAGAGACAGAGAGAGAGAGAGAGGCAGAGGGAGAAGCAGGCTCCCAAGGAGCAGGACGCCCGATGCGGGACTCGATCCCAGGACCCTGAGATCATGACCTGAGCCGAAGGCAGACGCTTAACCATCTGAGCCACCCAGGTGCCCGAGGGCAATTTCTATCAGAACAGCAACCTCACCTCTAAAACCCTTCCGAGACTTTTCTTATGATCTGTGGTTGCAAAGTCAAAAGTCCTCTGAACAGCCTAGTGATAGCCCAGTGCCAGTCCAGTAGAAGTTAAAAGCATGATACTTCCACTCAGAGTCGCTCTTTTTTAGCCCCCAGCCTCTTCATTTCCCCACCAAATCATTCTGGAGTCATAGGTGCTCTTTCCCACCTAGCAAGTTGCCAAGGCTCTTTCGAATAAGCAGGAACAAGGAGCCTGAAGTGGCCATACAGGCATAAAGCTTTCTGGTAAGGGGCTGGCTAAGAGCACCTGTCTCTCCAGCTCTGTCCTAGGCCTCTGTTCCGGCAGCTGTGGGGAATGAGCCAGCACCGAGCCTGGGGTTCTTCAGGCCTTAAGCCTTTTATGAGCTAGGTTGAAAGGAATACCTTAGAGAGTAAAAAAAAAAATAAAAAAATAAAAAAAAATAAATAAAAATAATTAAGTAAGTAAATAACCAGTTTTACTAAAAGATTGACAGTAGACGTAATGCCGATTGTATGTATAATCAGGACAGTGCTGGGGTAAGCCAGGCGTCCTCCCAGTTTCCCATGGAATGGAGGTCCTATCCAGAGGAAGGACAGTTTGCTTCTGAAATACCCCTTTTAGAGGGAGATTTTCTAGAACAAATGTGTGACGCTCCCTTTCTTTGTTTCCTTTAATTAACCACCTCCTCTCTCCACAATGTATCTCCTTAGGTTACTGCTTCCCTCTGGCTCTTGTCTTGTCAAGGATCTGCAAATAATGAGACTAATGTGTCTTGATTCCTGAGAAGGGGAACCTTTTCACAAATGCCAACCTGTAGCTCACCAGCCCTTTTCATTATTGCACCTTTAATGGGGCCCAAGGATCATCTTAGAGCTTGTCTTGAGATCATGAGGTTTTGTGTGTGTGCGTGTGTCTTTTCTCCTTGCTGAAAAATGTCTTGCTAATTGCTTTCTTTTTCTGCTGGTAAAAATGAACTTCTGTGATCATGTTTTTGCATGCTTAGCACATTAAATTTTTTTTCTATGTGCATGCAGCACTGAGTCGCTTCGAAGATGTTCAATTAGCTATAATTGTAAGCCAAATTACAGCAGCACCAGGAGAGAGTTATTCCAACAGAGTGATTATTTAGGTTAAATTATTTCCAAAGCTGACATTTCCCTGGGAAGGAGGGTAAAAATGGGTGCTGGTGGTAGGAAAAAAGGCTAGTTCTAGATAATCCATCTGAAATGAAAGACCTGATTTCTTTCTCTCCCTCTCTTGTTCCCTGTCTTTACTTAATTTCTTTTCCTTTTTCCTTCCTTCTTCCCTCCCCCTCTCCCTCCCTCCCTTCCTCTCTTCCTTCCTTCCCTCTCTCCCTCAAACAATAACCACTGGCTTTGGAGTCACTCAGACCTTCTTTAGTATTTGTGTGACCTTGGACAAGTCACTTAACCTATCTGAGCTCCAATTTATTATCTGCAGATGGTAATAATAGCATTTGTCTTGAAGAGTTACTGTAAGAATTACAAATAATATAAAGTTCATTGTATAGTTCCTGACACACAATAGCAGATATTGTTGTAAATGTTGTTGTTCTTATTTTTTTTTTAAAGATTTTATTTATTTATTTGAGAGAGAGATAATGAGAGACAGAGAGCACGAGAGGGAAGAGGGTCAGAGGGAGAAGCAGACCCCCTGCTGAGCAGGGAGCCCGATGCGAGACTCGATCCTGGGACTCCAGGATCATGACCTGAGCCGAAGGCAGTCGCTTAACCAACTGAGCCACCCAGGCGCCCTGTTGTTGTTCTTTATTGTTGCTGTTATATCGCCAAGCAGCCAAAGAGCTCTACTACAAGAGGAGGGTGTGAGAAGAATGGACATTTTTTTCTCTCCTGTGAAAATAACCATCAATGACCCTAAGACCCCACCTTTGCTAACAGTGAGCTTCTGAGCTTACACTTCTGAGACAGTATGAGCCAAGATCCAGCAACCTTAGGATTGGCCCATTTGGTGATATCTTATTTATACCTGAAATCAAATCAGAAGAGAAATCAAATCCTTTAAATCAAATACAAGAACCAAGATGTATTCCCCAAAAGGGGGATGCTAAGTAAAAATAGCAAGAAAACCGATGTATTGAGCACCTATTATGTGGCAGGAATAGTTTCAGACGATTTTAAATGCAATTATGTCACTTAGTTCTCCAAATAACTCTAGAACGGGAGAATTTTTGTTTCCTTGCTTGCTCAAGTGGATAATGAATCTAAGCTAGCACAGAATGGAACCAGGTTTCAAAACTAGGTTTGCCTGGCGCAAGTACCCAGGATCTGTTCACTACACAGTACTGCCTCTATTGTGTGGAGAAAGAGGAATACAAATAGCCAAGGTTCACAATCCAGAGTCGTGGTAAAAGCCAACAAATCTGCAGTTCTGCGGTCCTGAGGAAAATTTGAGAATTAGCCCAGGAGAAGTTTCAGGGACCGGAAAAACAAACCTTTCCTGATTGCTGTGGCTCATTATTGCAAAGTAAAACCAAAAATATAATCATCATCATTCTCTCTGTTTTAATTATGGAAAAGAAGGGGCTGGAATAATCTCAAGGCTCAAAAAATACACACTGTTATTTTCTAGGCAGAATGAACCAGAAATGATTGACAGAAGCAAGACTCTCACCGTGATAAGCAGGAACAAAAAAGTTACGAGGGCAAAGCACAGCAATTAGGGAAGCCAAGGAGTTGCACGTTTTCCTCTCCTCATTAGCACGCTGGGTAGGGAAAGCAAGGAGAGACGGCGGAGGCATTACCGGTAGGGTCTGAATGCCTTCTTCCTTCCTAGCTTTGTGGTGCGTGCAGTTACTCAAGGATGCCGACGGAGGAGCTCCCCCTGATCACTTCCCTTCCATATTTCAAGAGCCACGAGGGCAAAGAGGAGCCATTTGACACCGGCAATCCCTTCCCCAGAATCTGCTGAAGGCTCAGATGCCCAAATAACAGACTGTGGTCCGAGACTGTTAGCTCAATTAGCACCGCATGCAAAACATGATGGAGAAGCAAAGTTCCTCTCCCTCCTTGGACATCCTACCTTTTATGAGGCTAACTAGAAATAAAAAGAGCAGGGGTTGCACATTTCTCCTCAGGCCAGAGATCCAAGGCAGCACAGCAGCCGACCTGGTGGCAGGGTGCTAATTAAATTAGGCTTCTTGAATTAAAACAGTGCCATGGGTGCCAGGCCCTGCTACGAGGACACGTCTCCAAAGCACTCTCGGCCGAGCTTTATGTTTAGTTAGTGAGCTCAAAAGAATATTATCTCAAGTATCTGTCTTTGAAGCAATAGGCTCCTATGCAGAAGAAAGGTATCTTCACCATCTTTAAAAAAGGTTTTGGAGCTCACTAATTTCACTAACCTCCATCTCCTCTTTTATCTCAACTAATCAGTACAGGGTAAGATTCCAGCAAGACCATGAAATGCAATAAAAATAGTTTGAATGCTGGTTTGCCCTTCAGTTTTCTACTCATAATAATTGATGGTCTGCTTAACACCACTTCAAAAATTAATCCACAGTGAAGAATATCAGGTTCTTTCAGGGTTTTATTTTTTCCTTTCCCGAAACTCAAATTAGTCCAAGGGGAGAAAAAAAATCAACGTCAAGATTGAGGATAATTTGAAGTAATCAGAATAAAAATGAACGGGACACTAGCTGACGTATGTTTATCCTATACCAAGTAGGAGACCGTAGGAAGCAAAATAGCATCAAGCGGTT